GAATACATATTGAACACTATAAGCTATACATATTTCAAAATATAAGCTTAATCTAAACAAACGTTGATATTAAAATAAATATATAATAATAAATCCGTCACACAATAATTGAAGAATATCTTATGTCTGGAGAGCCATTAGCTGAGCCAAACCCAAGAGCAGAGATCCTCCAACCTGCAACGCAAGTCGAATAAAAACATCAATTACCTTTTTTCTTTTCTTGTTCACAACTACTTCTCCTCAGAAACAATCAGCAACCACCACTATATTGTATTCAACGAGCCCAAACTCAAATATATATTATTTAAGTTTCCTGCCATGTTTTATAGAACGAAAATACTTTACGGCTGTTCTTGTCCAGAGCCAGTGTTCAACTTTTTTTTAACTTTTTATTGCAATAGAAGCTTTATCATTTTATAATTTATTAACATATTTCGTTGTTACCACCAGGTATTTCCTATATTAGATGCCTGTACTTCTTTTAATTTAATATACTATACTATATTTCTTGTATTGTTATTTATACAGATCTAACTGGCCTTTCACTAGGATGCAAGTTAGAAAAAAAAGTATGATATTAAACCAAAAATGCTGTCGAATCTATGTTCAAATTAAAGTTCGTCAGACGATGGTAAAAAAATAATACCTTCTGTAAATATAAGTGACAAATCTATTTTTTGTTATTGGTTCGATTGATATTTTTTTAATCGATTACTTTCTTTATTGATATTTTTTAAAATAATAAATCTCTTTATAAATTCAAATATTTTACTAGCTGTTGTTGTTTTCTTAGGGCAAAGCTACATAATGAGCTACCTACAATCTGTCGACGACGGGGAATTGAACCCCGAGTTTTAACGTCGTAAGTCCTTAAACTTGCCACTGACTCACCGGAGAACATGTGTATTTGTAATTTATTATTTTAATTATTTGTTTTACATTTATTTGACCATATGTACTTGCTTCCTTGTCTTTTACAACCTAATTCGGTTGGTTCTTCCCAACCAGAATTTCTCCAGTTCATTCCTTCCCTTGTGCTTAGACTTAATTGACTCCTCTTTAACCAGAATGTGGCTCATCTTCCTCTTATTTTCAGATCTCTGTGATGGCATAAATATTGAACACAATTTTAAAACCTGGGAAGACAGTTTTTCTCAAACTATGTGTTTTCTTCTGATATTTCTAGGACTCCAGCTTCTTCTGAAAGGCGATAGAACAGAATATATGGATTTGTACAGTCGTCAAATCGGTATTCGAGTTGCTATTCACGACCCTGGCGACATTCCGCAGATGACCGATTCTGGAATTAACATCAAGTACAATGACCTGACGACCTTGGAATTGAAGTATTTAAATGTGCATAAACTTGGAGAACCCTGGGGAAAATGTCATAACGATTTTTCACAGTTAGGGTTTGGAGAAAATCTTGGCAAATATACGTTAGAAGTATGAATTTACTTATTTCTTATTTTATGGTTAACCCTAACTGCAATAAAGCTTTTTAGGGTAGCTTATTAATGATGTGCTGTTGGTTGATTAGGTTTTCATGAAGCTGTTAATAAAGAGGTTGAATCCTGGTGAAACTACATGATATAAAGTTGAAATAATTTTTATAATTTTATGCTATGTTCATGTCATGTATTATTATTATTCGTGCAGTTTTGACGAGAACATTTTTATGCGTATGCAAAATCCTACTCGAATCAAATCGAAGGAAATATTTGTTTGAATTCGAACAGTGTGATAATGTTAAAACTGATTTTAAAAATACGCACTGAAAACTTTTTTCTATTTCTTCATTACAATCACTCCTCTCCTTATTTATGTTAGTTCATTCTGACAACTGTGTTTATTAGAAACGTATTCACAGGGTTGTGAAATTTAACAATATTGCTATAAGCTCTCTTTTTCAACAATTATTTTCTTTTACGTTTTCTGAGATTTTACAAAGTCAGAAAACTCATTTGATCAAACTCAATTATTTCATGAGAAAAGACCATGAAAGAAATTCCTTAGATAGTGGCTCATTTGTTTTAGCTCAAAACTGAAGAATGGACTGCTTGCGTTATGTCTACCACGAGGATTAAACTTTGAATTCAAGAGTTATAAGCCCTGAAGTTTACCACTGAGCTACCAAGGGACAAATAAAAAATACAGAAATAATGCAATGAAAGGCCTAAACGGCTATTGGCAGGATTCTAGGGTTTATTATTCAAACTATTAGTAAGTTGATTAAACAAAACCTCAACCCAAAACTAATAGATGGATCACAGTGTCAGTTCTTGTCCTCAACCCAAAACTAATAGATGGATCACAGTGTCAGTTCTTGTCCTCAACCCAAAACAAATAGATGGATCACAGTGTCAGTTCTTGTCCTCAACCAAAACTAATAGATGGATCACAGTGTCAGTTCTTGTCCTCAAGAACTGACACTGTGATCCATCTACTAGTTTTGGGTTGTTTCTATAGTAATGTTTGAATGGAATGTCATTAGAAGACGATAATAAGGGAGTCAGAACACTATTGGAGTAAATTCGATGACGAGGAACCCACTTTGAGACTGGTAATAGTTGGAGACCTGATGATGACAAAACCTTGTCGAGACGTTGTACATTTGCTGTTATGTTAAACTTATATTAAAGTTTTTTTCATTAACTATTGGAGTAATTTCAATTAATGGTACATTTAAGGATTTTAATCTGTTCTACTTTGACTTAGATAATACATCAGTTATATAATTTAAATATTATTGGTCAATTGCATTTTAGATAATATACATATAAAACTAGGAATGGTACCCGCGCCACGTGGCTTCATGAAAACGGTAGGACATCGTGCAGGTGCGTCGTTCTCCATGCATATCTGCTGAATGCAGGCAGTCAGAGTTCTCGAAGACACTAAGGCAGTTAGTAGCAAGGAGGAAATTGAAAGAGTCGTAGAACACTACTGATCTGTATATATGGATAGTTTGTTTTGTTTTTGAATTTCGCGCAAAGCTACACGAGGGCTATCTGCGCTAGCCGTCCCTAATTTAGTAGTGTAAGACAAGAGGGAAGGCAGCTAATCATCACCACCCACCACCAACGAATAGTGGGATTGATCGTCACATTATAACGCCCAAACGGCTGAAAGGGCGAGCATGTTTGGTGGGACGGGGATTCGAACCCGCGACCCGCAGGTTGCGAGTCGAGTTTCCTAACCACCTGGCCATGCCGGGCCTCTTCTTTCGATATAATTTAAATTACACAAACACTGAAACTAGAAGTTATTTTCTTAGAAATCTTTAATATATATATATATAGTATTTAAGGATATTCCCGGTTCGAAGAGAATGTTTAGATAGTATGTAGCGTCAAATTATTTAGATTATATTTACTTCAATGTAAAAAATTCAGAACTTTCTCCCTTGAACTTTGATTTATATATCTAACACGTAGTTTCTAACCAAAAACATATCTAAAAATAAGCGAAACTTGACATACTTGGACATTAAACAGTAGATCAGTTACTGTTACCATTCACGCTTTCGGAAGAGAGAAAGTAAAATTTGTTGTCTTGGAAATTTAAATATTTCTTATTTAATTATTTGTTTTTTTCAGAAGTGCCGATACATCTGTAGAGAACGGAATATTTTTAAAAGATGTGGCTGTTATCTTGCTGGTCACGAACCCTGGAATGTATCAAGTGGTGATGCAGTGTGCGATTTGTTGAAGAAGGAAACAAGTTAATGGCTCTATTGCTTTTCTACATCTCTATTTGCACAAACCGAAGTTTAAATGACAGATATACCTGTCCAATGTTTCTAGAATATTTCACTAAAAATAGGCAATATGCCAGAAAAAACAAAGAGTGAAACATCGTCTAGCCAAATGTGTTTGAAATCAAATAAGGGTTAAGTGGTAACCCTACAATTGAAATTGAAATTGAATTATTTATTCATTTTTATAGAAAACAACAAGAGGGAATTTTCAATAGCCGCGGCTGAAATTAGATCTCAAATCGGTCAAGAGATGGAGCCTTGAGCTAAAGTTTGTACCTAGAAAAAAGACTCGGAGCAATTCTACGAGCCGTTATGCCGCGGCTAAAATGTTAACTTACTTTTAGAGCTAACCCAAAAATTCTTATTAATTTTGGATAATGTGGCATCAAAGCAGTATCATTAACATAATAAAACGCAACATTTACTTAAGAATAATTTTATGGTTATTTAAAAAGTAAAAAAAAAATGAATCAGTTATCATATAATTTTTTTCAGTTTACATTAACACTTTATTTTATAAAATTAAGATATTTTCATAAATCACTCTAAAGCTTTAATATCACACATTTGGTGTAGCTCTACACTAGTTTATATAATCTTGTTAATGGTGAAATTACTTGAAATTTCCGTTGAAATTGGAAAATAGATGTTCAGTTTCATTGATTTTGAAAAACAGTTGCACCGTAAAAAGTTTAGCCTCTTTTTCTGTCAGGTTGCTTAGTTTTATATATATATTCACAAATGAGTTAAATGTTCCTGAAACAAATGGACATTTCGGGGATGTGTGTCCATGTGTCACCTTAAGTTCAAACTAATTGTTCCTTTTTAGTATACTTTCGTTACTAGTTTTTGATATAAATATGCTGCTTAAAATAGAGATAATGAGTAAATAAAAACATCTGAATCTGTTTCATTTTTTTTTCCAACAGCTACTTGATTTACTATATGTATTCAGTAGATTTACGTAAATATATGTATATAAACTAGAAATATAATGGTTATTTCAACTTACATTAGCTGTCAAGATTAATGTATGTAGTAATTATAGAATTGTAATATTTGATAAGTTTCAAATATAAACATTGCTCTTATTTGTTAGATATCTAAATTTGTTCTTCAGTGTTTGAATATGATTTCATTTCCATCAATATTAAATAGTTCAGTTTGTATTTGGTTTGTTACTAAATTATAATTACAGAACAAATACTTATCTCCACTGATAAAATTAACTCTAATAAACTAAAAAATGTTAATCTAGTCAGCCGTTAGAAATATCCTAAAATCCTTGGTATTTTAATATTTAGGACCGTGTTTTAAATTTATGTTAAAAACATAAAATACAACAAATAATATTTCATGAACTTAGTACTCATTCTCTAAAAGACAGATTACGTCATTGCTAATAGCTTTTTCTTTTTGCTTCAAGGGGATTGTATTTCAGATGTAAAACAAAAGATTGCAAAAGAGGAATTAGAATGCATGTGTTATCCTCAATGCAAGTAAGTTACATATTTTCCTGTAAAAAATTAAACAGACAATAATGTAATGTTTTTTTCCTTATAATTTCGAGTTTTAGAATTTTTAACGATTTATCCATGAATGCAGTATGTTTCAATTTTCTAAATCCATATTACAACATTTATTAATCACTCGTATGAAGGTAAATGACAACCAGATTGAGATATAACTTTGACAAAGCATTGAAACAAACAGTAAAGTTTACGGCTGACAGATGCATAGAAAATAGATAGCCAATGAACTAGCTAGAGTTTCATTAATAGTTTGTCTCAATAAATTTCATATTTACACTATACCAATATTTCCATATTAATTAGGAATGGGTTTATCTATGAAATTATTCAGAGTTGAGACACGGTCATTAATATTTGGCACCCACCATTGATAAGTATTCTTTAATACTAGTTTCATTGATAGTATTTATAAAATGTTTAATATAAATTATATTTAATTTTTATTTATATATATATATCCTTGAAATTAACATAATTTTCTATTTTAGCTTAGTATATAAATTTAGCACTAAGTTGGCTGAGCCTTGTGAGGTATCAATATTACGGTCTAAAGTATCGCAAACAGCAAGACACTCAACTGCTCAATCAATAATTTTACAAGACTTTGTTTTACTAATTCCCATATACTTAGTTAGACTGGTATATTGGATTAGCTATATTAATCACAGGGTTAAATTTTAGTTCTGATCTATGTAGTTTCCTTTGATTTATTTCGAGGCCTATCTCTCAAGTTTCGCTCCGAAACGATCCACAACGTTTTACTTAGTTTCAGATCAGGGTTCCACTCTGGTACAAAGTGCTGTATAGCAAAGCACATTATTATGTTGAATAGCCCATGTTTTAAGCTATAGCTTAAAAAATTGTTTTCCCGCATATTTCAATACAAAGATGCCCTTGATCTAAGACTTTCAAATGGATATCCTTTCATCAAAATTCCTAATAGTTATTTCATAATCTGTTATCAAAATTTCGGCTAGCTTCGATTTTAGTGTTTTTTTTCTTCTTCAGTTATATTGTAAACAAAGAAGATTTTTAAAAATAAGATTATTCAAAGAAAATCACAATATCTGTTTGTTTGTAATTTGTTTCTTCAAGTTAGTATATCATTAATATTATAGATAGTGCGGTTTTATTCAAAACGTTGCAATACCACA